TTCTATCCAAACATTGCTCGGCCTGTTTAAGTTTTCTTAGAGATCATTCTTTGTTTTTCATTTTAGCTATCTAACTTGTGGTACTGTGTTTAATTCCCAAAAGACTACAGAGCCAACTCCGATCAGGATACAGGTGCTCAGAGGCCTTCCTATCAGCCTTGGGGACAACCCCACAGACTTCTTCAAAGCAGGCTTTGTAAGTAAGCTCTTGCTTTATCATTTTTAATATTGTTTATTTTTCACCATGACACTTCTATTGATTAAAGTTTTTTTTCAAATGAGAAATATAATGCAATGATTGTGCTCTTCGGTTCTTCTTTATTTTTTAGGATGACTATTCTTTTCGTGACGTGGGATACTTCTTATTGAGCGTGAAGGTGCTGTGCTCACATCTTCCCAGTCCAGCCTCGTTGAAAATCATCATTGAGGGAGAAGTCGTGATGGACAACATTCAAGATCTGCCAAAAGCAATGTGCATTCTGTTTGGACTCTTATATGCACTCCATCTTAACTACCCAAAGACTATGAAGCTCACATTTCAGTTCATCCAACCAGGTATTGCTCTTGTTAGGCCACACTGACTCTAGAGACCCTTTTTGCTTATCAAAAGTTAGGTCCTCTGGGTTGGTGTTTTGAGTTCATTTTGACGTGTTAAATTATTCCTTGAGACATTTCCACTTCTTGGATTGTCCTTTATTTTGTTCTTTAATGACACCATCCAATTATCTTCGTACATGCCTCTTCCACCCTGTCACGTTCACGTTCCTTGCTCTCGTTCCACACTTCACCTTCCACGGTCACGTCCACACTCTCCTCACGTTCATGCTCACTGTCAAAAAACTATTTCTCTTCTCACCAACACCTGTGCCAGGTAACCCACCTGATTATATTGACCTTGCGGCCTAATTGAAACAACCTCCCACCACCTAAGGGGGTGGAGCTAACAATAAAAACTACAAAACAAAAATGGCTCTTACACACCAGCCCCAAATTGGTTCTGGCGACAGACGACAATTCCTCATACTTTTAAACATAAGGAGCAATTACATTTCAAACAAAAACAATAATGAAGTAGTCAGTTTCATAATATTTTACTTATACATACACTGTATTAACATACTTGACAAAGAAAATATCTGAGTTTCCAATATTTTAACATGTCTGTTGCTTCACAAAAGACAAATTTTGGTCACTGGTCTCTCAATTACATTGTTCTTGGTTTGAAGAGCAACGTGTTAGGGATTTAAGCCAGAAGTGCACCCCTAGTCATGGAATTTATAGTACGTGTAATAATGTTTAGTGTTAGAATTATAGTTGTGATGGTAGATATTAGTTATTAGCATGTTAGCATTCACGTCATCTAACATTAGCATGTTAGATGACGTGAATGCAATTTGAATCAAACACAATTCATAGTCATTTAAATCATATAAACACTGTACACATAAACATTGTCATAATGTGATGTTAAAACCTGGGGACGGATGCTTATTGGCGTCCTTTATGGATTTCTCCCAATTTTATCCCCAAAGAGGGGTTTTTGGGAGTTTCTTCTCCTGTCAGGTAGTGAATGAACAACTTAATGCAAGACAGCCGATTGAGGCAAATGTCTTGAATTGGACCACACAAACTGTTTTAGATCTTATGATGAAGTGTGATGAACGGTGATCATTAATAATTGTTGTAATTAAGGTGTACTAGTTATAAGATGACGACTTAAACTATGTATGCTTTGTTATATTCACTCATTGAGGCATAAAGCCAACTGTATCTACATTGAATGCATTGGAATGTGAGGGACAGATAGGAAAGAGGTTCAAGTTACAGCTGCAGCTTCACACCTCGATGTGAACGAGACAGTCCAGGAGGGGACACTTTGAAGGAGAAGCCAATGGCATTCAAATGCACCAAAGAAGACACCTCAAGAGTTTTCAAAGGACCAAAGCGAGGAAAGGACTGTTAGAATTTTCCTGCAGCCGCTTTGATAAGTCGCTTTAGACTTGCTCAGGAGGACTATTATTCGCAAAATATTTTACTGTTCGCTTTGTATTTCACTTTGCAATTGTAATCCTTAACGTTGTTTAGTTTTTAAATACTTTTTGATTTTGAATTTAAGCAAGCGGACTCTTTTGTATCTCCGTTTCCGGCCGGGATGAGAACAAGGGAGTGAGGCCTCCCTCGAGAGCTTTGCGAACCCTAACAAACGGAACGCACAAGTCCTTTCCTATCAGGAAATGTCTGTAGTATCTTTCCAAGTATCCATGATCCACGAGGCGCTGTTGAATCAACGACAACTATGTCTCCAGGTAAAACCTCTTTTCTTTCCTCATTCCACTTTTGCTTTTCTTGCAGCAATGGTATGTATGTATGTCTTGTGTCCACCGTTTCCAAAACAGATCAGCCAAATACTGAGTGTCTCCATCTTTTAATGTACATATCCCTTTTCTCAAATCGTCATCATCAACACTAGCATCCACCCTACTGCCGTTTAACCTTTTCCAACTGGAAAAGTAAGTGATCGGTTTATGCGTGGGGCTTGAATGGTCTTTGGTAATAATTGCATTTACAAGGTTCCTTTTAACTTCTGGCTCATAACTAATGTCCAAATCCAAGCCTGGTATGGTGGTATACTCCATGGTGAGGGTGATACCAAACCTTCCCATCCATGCATTCCAACTGATGTCTTTGTTGTACGGTCTCACCAACAGTTCTTCCAATTTGCCAACACCAATCCTATTTACACGAAAGTAGAGTAGCCAACTCACCCTGCTTTGTACCGTTCCCATTAAGAGGTCCATTAACCACCCAGCCCAATAGAGTTCTTACTGTATATGGTCCCTCTCCTTGACTATTGATCACTTCCCATGGTTCCATTAACTTTGAAGCATTTGTGCCAATCAACAAATCAACATCAGCGTTAATATGGGGGATATTTACATCTTTCAAGTAGGTCCACTTTGACAACTGTTCTTCAGAAATGATATTGTGTGTTGACACTGGTATGGTCTTCCGAGTAAACACACTTGGAAGCTCAAAGAACTGATTGTCAGTGAATTTGGATATTTCCAAGGCTTTGACAATACAACTGGGAACAGTAGTACTGTGACCCATTGTACGTAGATTAATCTTCGTTTTTCTTCCTTTGATGTTTAGTCTCTCCATTAGTTTCAGAACAGAATGTGTCAGTACTTCCTGGATCCAGGAATGCGTACGTTTGTATGATTTGGTTTCTCTTCATACACTTAACATCGACAGGTAGGATTGAGAGGATGCCGTTACTTCCTCCAGGCCCTGTATGACCACAAGTAGAGACTGTTGTGCCACTCACAGACTCTTCCTTTGACGGATCTTTGTCTTTGCTCCTTTCCCTTTTATCAATGTGAAGAACACTGGGATGACTCTGGTTGCAAACTTTGCAAGATAAGCGTTTACTGCAACTCTGGCTCATGTGTCCTATGTTCAAGCAACCAAAGCAAACACCTTTCTCTTTCAGCAAGTCCAACTTTTCCCCGATGCGTTCTTTTCCTCAATTGTGGACAGTGCTCCAATGAGTGTCCAGGTGTACAGTACAAAAAGGAAACATTTTATACTGTCATTTTGTATTTTGGGTTTTAATGCTTTTCTTGGTTACACTCACAGCTGGTTCAGTAGACAAAGACAGCAGTTGCAAAGCTATTTCTTTTGGACTGCAACTTTGAGTTACTTTCCACGTCCGTTTTTTTCCAAGCAGGATTTGTCTTCACTTACCGTGGCAGTGAACAAAGCTAAACGCCCAGAAGAAAGCTGTGTGGGATTGGGATATTAGTTTTAAAAGGAAAGAACCACATTTATCAATTTATAAAGGCCTTTTGTCATTATTTAAACCATGTTTTAACGTTAAGTGGGGTGTGATGCAGTCGATGTGCTTACATGTGGATAGAGGGAATTTACTTGATAGCTAGCTAAGTGATTTAGCATTTTTTCCTTCCCCAGCTCCAACTGTACTGAACGTTAGAGGTAAAAATGTTCGTTGCGTGTTTAAATGTGATACAGGTGCTTAACATTGCATTTACTATGGTTCTATTGTTAAGTTCTGTGAGAGAACATTTTGAAACATTTTCAAAATTATAAATGTATTCTTTCACACTAAGTTAGTCCAGCAACTGTAAAACGGTAAAATTACGTTAGTGTGTTTTAATATAAAATGTGCTTAAGGTGTTCAGGGTTTCCCGCAGAAAACTTGTTAGTCAAGGTGGTTGGTCGACCGACAGGGGAGGGGGGGGCTACCGCCGCTGTTTCGCCAAGTCGTCCGACTGGGACGCCGTAGTTAAGGCGGCAGGCTACAAAGTGCTGCGGGAAACCGTGGTGTTAGCTAGCTAGTACTTTGTGGCGTCGTCGTCAGGTTCAAGATGATTTGTGCACGCCCGCATTTGTTTTTCGTAAGTTGTTTCTGCTGTGGAAGTCCTAGATATGTTGAAATTAAACTGAGTCATGTCTGGATTAGTAACCTCATCTGGTGGAACGAACCAGCCTTCTCAAGTAACCAACTTTACCTGTGCGGTTCAGATTTAACTGTTTAGTTATTGCAATAAACTGATAAAAACGAAGCTAAAATACAAACATTGTGATTGTCAAGTGTCTCACTTTTGTGAGGTTCAAACTGCAGCTCCCCACTTGAAAGGGCAACTTGCTAAGAAGTGTAGACTGGATTCCACTCAATGACCAAGATTCGGACTTCTTTACTTTCTTGCTTTTTATTTTTAAAATTGTCCAGGTCAAAAACCTTGAAATACAAACACTAATGGAAGGTCAAAGAAATATAACCCAAGAAACCATAATCAATTCACATACCCAACATCACATACTTAATTTATAATCTACTGGAAATTAACCTCAAATAAGTAGAAAGACAACCCAAAGTTAAAGTATCCCAAGACTAAATTGAATACATTTTTAAAACACTATTTAATGATGATTTTAACCTTATAAACTTTAGCAGCTTTTAACTCCGGTGAATACACACAAATCAATTTTTATCCAATTACTTTTAGCTTGAATAGTTTTTAAAAACACACATTAAATATATGGACATTTGATCTTGCATTTGATGCCATAGTCAACCACTCAAAAGCTCACAGGCTCCTTCTTCAGTCTTTGAAAGCTTTATTCCTGCAGTCTCCTCTTTCCAAGCTCTTTGGTTTCTCACACTGCTCGCTCTTCACTGCCCTGTGAGTGAGTGCCTCCAACCCCCTTGATTTCCAGATCATCTCCACCTGGTGCATTCAAATCTCCGACTCCAGCCTGGGAGACGCACCTAAACCTGCCTCTCAGCCAGAGAGGGGCTCGGTCTGCAACTCAACTCAACAGTGATGAAGATTTGTTAAACGTTTGAATTCATACTAAATCAGGTCCTTCCACAAAACAACCAAACAACTTTTAAAATGTTCGTTCCTTAGAGTTTAGGGCAATAGTGGATTTATACAAGTGGTGTGTACCCAAAATAACTAATTCCGCCTTTATTTACTTGTGAAATGGGTCTAAAGTAAGCCGAAACAGCAACATCATGATACAGATTAAAAATATAAAAGTATCAGGTCTGTCTGTAAAATGACAAAGCAAACAACTTTTAATAATGCTTGTTTTTCTGAATAAAGTTCTAAAAAAGTTGCCAGGGCATCATGTTGCAAACAGAATATTTTGATTTTTCTTTTTCCTGCATATGATGAACCATATGTTATCTCCTTGCAGGAGATTGAACAGTTTTGTTCTTTTCCCTAGCTGCAGTTTCAGGATGTTGCTGAAGGTAAAATGCAATACTATCAAGAAGTACATCAAATTGCCCTCACCTTTTCAGAATTCATCAGGGAAGGTAAATCATTTGCAGGCAAAATGAAATATGTAGCCAATTTAACAACAAATCACAGCACAATATGATCTGTGGCAGAATTATTTAAATACTTTTGTATATAACAGTTTATATTACATTAATAACAGTTCGTAGTGAAATCAACATTAGTTAGAACATGGTTGTACATGATTTTTAGTTTAACAGTTAAGCAGGATGATTTCAAATTTGCCCCAGGTGACTTAATCTGCTTACATTCCCTCCTTTTTACAGTCAAAAACAAGTTTGGGCTTCCTGATGTAGCTCTACTTGACATTTATGATACTGACACAGCAGTAGAGGAAGACATTCTTCTAGAGCTGTTGGAGGCCAATCCAGACATGTGCCTGACAGTATGTGACAGCATTTCCAATGAAGGTAGGTGTCATTAAGAAAACCAATGTTAATGGATAGGGCTATTTGGTGCACCTAACATTGACCTCTCTTTATGGAAGGAACATGGCAGTGGTCAAGGTTAGGTTAAATTTGTTAGATTACTAAAAATGTAATCTGAATACTTTGTTACTTAAAATGTTTATACTTAAATGGATAAAGCCACATTAAGTTAATAAAATTATTTTTAAAGACTTTTCTCCTCTAGATCATTCAACACCATCTTCCCTCACGGACACCATATCACTTACTTCAAGTGACAGTGACCTTAGAGAACTGGGTATGACCACAGGCAGAAATAGATCCAGCAAAGACGACATGAGCAGTTCTGCAACAAAGGCTTCCGTGTCAGAGGTAATTGAGAGCTGGAAACGTCTTATTTTGATTTACTATCAATTATAAGGTGTCACGTTTAAGCATTTGGTTCCAAACTCACTTTATCAAAGAAAATGTTATTAATTTGCTCCCTTCGTAAATGTTTACCTTTCACAACACTGTTTTTTGTCATTCCTCTGAACTTTCACCCGTAGTCTATATAGACATATTGTGGTATGTTTTTTCTAATAGACTGAATTGAACACTGAAACTTATTTTCCCTTTTCCTGTAATGCGAGTAGATCGTAGAGAATGCAAAACATTTAAATGTAACAGGAGGATTTCTATGATGGGAAAGAGGAACTGGATATTTAGCGTGGCGCCTCAAAACCGTTTCCAGGACTTCAGCAAAACGGCCAGTCAAAGAAATCTCAGTGAATCAAGCACAAGGACCAAAGCGGCAAAGATCAGCAACCACACTGCCTCAGCAGCTTGATGGAGATGCCGGCAGGGAGGCCATTTCATTTCTTGTTCACTCCCCTGATGAAGCAAGTGTATTTCAGAAGATGACGTTTCAACATCGTCAGGACCTAGTGCATGACCCACAAAGAAGCACAGATGTCTTCAAAACATTTCCACGCTTTTTAGATGTCAAAAGGACTTGTGAGTTGTATATTTTTTATTTAAACCGAAGTCTTAAATATCCAGTGTTTTGCTGGATGTTAGCCAGGGCAGTTTACAAAATGTCTATTACATTTACATGGACCAGCAAGTACCAGATTCATCTGAAGGTGTATACATATTTTTCTTCTTCTTTTTAGTCATGCTGCTCCATCAATGAACATCTGCAGGAAAGGGAGAGTAAACAACCATACATCCTTGCCATTGGCCGAACCCAGAAGGCGATTGATATCTTCTACATCGCCGTTGACAAACAGCTCATCCTCTGCCAAGCCACCAGCTCGTTGGGTGCTTTTGATGAACTGTTTAAATCCCACTACATGTTCAACTTGTCTTATGATGAGTCCCCGGTCCATTTCTACACTTTTCTGCAGACAACGGTCCACAACATGGATGTTACCACAACAGATGAGTCTAAGAGTTTGTGAGTTGCGGGCAAAACTTTTGAATATGTTTAAATGTTTTGTATGTCAAGCAGTGCATGCTACCAGTCAGTGCCTAATAACTCATTTGCGAATCTGCCACAGTTTCTATCCAAGCACTAGGTTTAAGTTAGTTTGTGCACAAGATCATTGCATGCGCCAGTTTCCAACATTTTCAGATTTTAAAAAGCATTTAATTAGTGTGCATGATAAGGATTGTCAAAGTGGTGATGCAAAAACCTCAGAGTCATTTCAGGCGGATTTTCACAGTTTACAAAATGGTACAGAAGTTGCAGGAACAAGTGTCGTGCAGAGCCCTGACACTGGGTATTTTGATAATGGATCAGGTCAAAGTATCAAAGAAGATAGATAGACAGAAGATATGTGCTACAATTATTGCCAAACTCCATGGTAGTGGAATGGCAAAAAGTGTAGTTTCGTCAATTATCCGTGATTTGGAAGAATTTGCTGGTGGTCTGCACTCCCAAGTTAAGCATGAAATACTGTCTGCCGTGCCAAAAGATAACCCTGTAAGATCTACATTGGAAAAGGGTTTTGACAATTTAGAAAACCCATTTGTGCGTTTTAATACTGAAACTAAAGAATAAAGTATTTCAACAAAAAAAAAAAAAAAAGGGAATTGTGGAGCTGCTGGAAAAAAATGTAGGAGTTTGATTTGATACAAGACTAAATAAAAAAAACAGGTACTTATGATCAGGTCCCAGTGAAAGACACTTGTGTTTACATTCCAATTTTGGAAACTATTCAATTTATCTGTCGCAATTCTTATATTTGTGAACTACTACTAACCATGTGTATTAAGACAGATATGAAGACTTTTGTGATGGAAGTTATTTTAAGTCACATCATTGTTCTCAAAAACAGTTCTTTACTAATTCAGCTTTACTATGATGACTTTGAGACTGCTAACCCACTTGGTTCAAAACGTGTTTAAAGTTGGTGTTCTCTTTTGTCCTCCGAAATCTGCCTCCAAAGTTAAACTTTGGTGATGAACATTCATTTGGTGGCATTGTTTCACACAGATGTGAAAAAATGCCTTTGATCCCATTTTACAGTCTAATTGATGACAAAATATTGGAGAGTGATGGCATTGATTTGCCTTTCTCATCTGAAAAGGTCTATGGCACTATATGGCAGATAACTGGGGACAACTAGGGGATGCATGGAATAATGGGTTTTACAGAGTCTTTCAGTGGACGTCACTTCTGTCGTTTGTGTTTGATTGAAAAAGAGGATGCTCAGAATGTTTACAAAGAGGATGACCCAAAGATAATCTTGCGTGGAAAAGACATTTTTGAAATGCACTGCAGTGAGTTGCAATCAGATCCACAAAAGATGTATGTGTTTGGTCTAAAGAAGAATTCAACTCTTAACAGCCTACAGTACTTTCATGTTTGCTACAACTTTTCTTTGGACATAATGCATGACATACTTGAAGGGGTGGCTCAGTATGAGATAAAGTTACTGTTTGAATATCTCTCAGAAAATGTGTTGTCAAAACCTGGGCCCGTATCCCTAAAGAAATTTTGTGCAAAAAGTAGCTCCTAGTGGCCAAATTCGAAGAAAATTCTCAGTCATGATGTTCTCTTAGAATTTCCCCTAAAAGTGACACGAAAATCCCAATTAATATAAAAGCTATTCCTCAAGATTCCTAGGGCTTAAAAGGACTCCTAAGGAGAGATCTGCTAAGAGCAGGGAAGAGGACTTTTAGTGGCTTAGGAGTTCCCCTAAGCAGCTGCACAAAATGGCCAACAGAGGAGGCAGGAGAGATGTCCTGCAAACACTGGATGACAGGGAATTATTGAGACGCTACAGATTGGATCGTGCAGGAATCATGTTTGTGGTGGATCTCCTTAGAGATGCAATTACTTCACCAACTCGACGCCACAACGCTATTACACCGGAGAAGAAAGTTGCCAGATTATGTGGTAGGCTATAGTATTTTGCTCACCTGTGAGTGAGGATTCCCGCTTGTGTGCTGAAATCTCATCTTTTGCCTTGGACTGCAGCACATACCACCTTTTCTCACAATCGTCGCCTGTCCGCAATTACAATTACAGTCTGCATAAGATTAGAGTGTATAATTATGTTTATTGATTTGAGGGTACATCCTTTGCTCATTATCACCAAAAGTTCATTTTCAACAAACTTGTAGGATCAACCAATCATGGCTTTTGAAATGATGACTCATACCTAGCAACAGGGTCAACCACACCTCACTAAGATTGGATTTTCCATCCATTCCTTGCTCAGAGTTCACTGAAAATGTTCTGGAATCCCTTCTAAGCTAAAACTCCTGGCAAGGAATTTTTAGGTTAAGTTAGGAGCGCTCTGAGAAGATTCTCAGAGTCTTTAGGGATACGGGCCCTGGTCTTTTGTCACAAATCTATGCTTTTGACTGTGGCTACTTGGAGCGGAAAAAACGTCCGTCAAGGGTCAACTTGGACAGTGTAGGCAATAATATAGGACTCAACTCTATTCAGACTCTGTCTGGTAAGAAACATTCCTTTGATTTTTGGTGACATTGTGCCAGAAGGAAACCAGAATTGGACTTTGCTGTTACTTTTACTGCAGATAATTAAGATCATATTCTCTCCATCTGTTACACTAGGCATGACTGTGCATTTGAAGCATTTAATAATGGAACACCATGACTTGTTCAAACACTTGTATCCAGGTAGAAACCGGATTCCTAAACATCATTTTATGTGTATTATTACCAGTCTTGTATTCGAAAAATTGGACCGTTAATACATATGGAGTATGAGATTTGAGGCAAAACACAGGGTTTTCAAAAGCACACTAAAAAACTTCAAGAACATCACTATCACTTGCCAAAAAACATCAAATGTCGATAGCGGCCAATTGGGAAACTTCTTTGAACCATATTGAGTACGGACCTTTGAAAACATTTAATGTGGACAATGAGGAAAGTGGTGAAATGTTTGCCCAAGCCCTGCCCGCTGTATCAAAAGACATCTTCTCTACTAACTGGGTTAAGATCAGCGGGGTAGAGCACAGAGCCGGGTTAGTCATTTGCAGTGGTACAGAACAAGAAATGCCTGTGTTTTGCAGAATAAAAAAAATATATAATATATATATATACATACATACATACATACATACATACATACATACATACATACATACATACACACTTTTAGTCAACAGTGTGATCTACTTCATAGTGAATAAGCTCGTGGTTGACCATTTCAGTGAGCACCTTCATGCCTACAACGTGTTTGAAAGTGATGAAAAAAATGTGATGAAAGCAGACGGTCTTCAAATTTATAAGCCTTTTGACTTACAAAGTGCCTATGGTGGAGATGATAGCCTTTATATTGTACCATTATGTTCTCTGTAAGTGTGCATAGAGTTCAGTTGTATGGTGCTTGTATATTTGTAATTAAAAAAGGTTAATTCATCGAATGTTTGTTTTTCCAGGTAGTGAAAAAGCATGTTCAGAACATCAAATTTGACACAACTGCACTGTAAACCCGAACGTCCAAAGTAATTAAATAGATTAAGTAGTGTATACTCAACTTTTTGAAAAAGTTCTACTAACTTGTCATGTCATGTTGGTGTAACATGTTCTTTGAGTAACTTTAACTAATACTTTTTGAATTAATGGTACGAATTAAGTACAACTTAATAGAATTAAGAAATGTCATACTAAGAATGAATGATAAAGTCCTGTTTTTTATATATTTTGAAATAGGGATGATTTAAAAATAAACCTAATTTATATAGCACATGCTAAAATACAATCAAATCTCACAAAGTGCTTCACCAAATAAGTAACATCGATCATTAATAAATACATTTCAATCAGCTTATTAAAACTAACAATTTGATTGGGGTAAATGGTCTGAAATGCATTAGACATTAGTGGAAGACAAAATTTATTTTTATTGTCATCAGTTTAATGTAGCCTATATATTTTTTTTTTCATTTTGCTTGCACGGATCATTTTAACGCTCAAACTGACTTCCTACACTAGTCCATGTTCTCTCTAGGGAAGCTCGTTTTAAATTCTGAGCAGTGAGCCCGCTGTAAAATAAACTTTTACTTGTTTGTTATTTTAGGATATTATTCTGTCAGTATAAAAGTATTCAAGTTGTCATGATAACACAACATTACTAGTTAGTAACATATCTACGACAAATAAAACTAATCTGAAAATTGAAAAAGTTGATTTATGTAATGTGTGAAGTTAAATTGTTACAATCAGCCAGTTGCCAATCCTCGAAAACGTAAAACAATTTAATTGAAATAATTTTCCAGACTTTGTCGCACGAGTGACATTACTAACGTTAGTTACTTCTGCTCCATTCACTGGGACTTTAGTCTTCTCTGCCTGTGTGTGTCTACTTCAGCGGTTGCTGGTTTGAACTCGCTAACGTGTGCGCTAACGTACGTGCTAACGCACTCTAGCTAACAAACATACTACGCTAACTAACGTTACTGGACTGTGCATCTCGGACCAGCCGAGGAGCACACGGGATAGTATTCCACTTGCTAGCTAGCTGTTCAACTGAGAAAAGGGCAGCTAACGAACCTACACTAGCTAACGTTACTTGATTGTGCATCTCTGACCAGCCGAGGAGCACGGGGGATAGTATTCCACTAGCTAGCTAGCTTGTTCAACTGAGAAAAGGGCGGCTACCGAACCTACGCTAGCTAACATAAGTTAATGGTGCATGCTTGAAACCGCGATTGTCTTTTCAGTCAAACAATCTAGCTAGCTAGTTAAGTAAAAAAAACGGCCTCCCGTGCTTCTCGGCTGGTCCAGGAGCAGCGCCAGGTGTTTCTGCATCAAGCTTGTCGTGACTCGCAGTTCTGTGGCATTTCTATTAATTTTTTGCAAGTCATTCTGTTCATTCATTTTTGTGTACAGCTGGAACTTTCCATCTATAAACGTTGTATAAAAATAATTGAAAACATGTCATTTTAAGGCAGTGTTAGCTGTAGTTATTGATCATGTTTTGGTAAGCTACTAGTAACTTAACTTGTTATATTAAGTATAAGCAATTCCCTTTTTAAAGTTTTAGATGGTGGTCTGAACTTTGTAATTTCTTTTCTTTGCCTTTTAGATTGCTGGTTCCAAAATCATCTGGATTTGCAAGTTGTGCGCAGCTTCTTTCGCCTCCAGAATACAGACAGACTATAGTGATGTCCTGCCCACCAGTGAGCGAGCTCAGGAACCTCTGGCATGCTCTCAAAATAGAGAATGAGGTAATATGGATCAGCTCTCTTAAGTGAAAAATTGTGATTCTTACTCATTTGGCCCCTATTTTCTGCTTTATGAATGTGTGCTAGAGTCTTCAAATGTTAGTTTTTGTATGAGTGTTGCTGTATTCTCATCCTACTGTTATTTCAATGTAGTTGTATACAGAGTTCCAGCGGATAATGAATCGGAACCTGCCCAACACATTCTATGCTGAGCTTGACCGCCATCTTCCTCGACTGATGACCTTATTCAGACATAAGGCATCAAAAACTGGGAAGACAGCAGATGCTCTAGTTGAAATTTTAAAAAATCCACGATGAACAGGTAAATAAATTATTATATTACAGGTCATTTAGCAGACACTTTTATCCAAAGCGACTTACATTACACTTTAAACCCATGACTTTTACCAATTTTTGCCTGGGGAGCAATTAGTTAGGTGTCTTGCTCAGGGACACTTCGACTTGGAACATGGAGCAGCCTGGACTCAAACCACCAACCTTGTGCTTCCCAGCACACCTTCTCTAACCCCTGCGCCACAACGACACCCACACTTCATTAGGTTCAATGACTCATGAGTTGTGCATTTTGCAATTAGTCCACTTTGTGTTTGCCATTTGTTTGATTGCATTAATAATGTGAAGAGGTTATTTGTGGACATATGTTCTGTTTGGACGGTTTAAAATAAGTAGGTACAATTCGGTTTTTCCCCAATAGGAAATCCGTGACATCCACACCAAGCGCACTACTGTTCTCCACGCCCTTCCTGTGTATCGGAGAGGATGCTTCTGGATTTTTCAGAACCTGCACAGTGAGTCTCCTTAAGTCACTAACAAATCATACTGTGCATTATGTAAACAGTTTATCAAAAATACTATTATCTATTAGGACTTTTGTTTAGTACGGTTTGTGTATGATCTGTTTTCTTTCTCCTCACTACAAAGGAACTGTGTTGGCAAGTGATAAAATGTTCAGTAAAACCTGTTCCTGTAAATGTCCTTTTAACTTGGTTTCAGTCTCTCACACCACTTAGATTCTCTGGTATTTTGGTAGATGTGTGTGCAGTATGGATCTTATGCTTTTCACCTCTTAATATATAGGATAGAAATAAGACCCAGATCTCCCTCGTAAAAGGGGTATAGGTCGTCAATGGGACTTGGTTAAAGGAAGATACATTATATGTAATCTGTTCTGTTCCGTGAGTTAGTATCTCTTTTTCATTCATTCAGGACAAGTCTGATGAGCCAGAGCTTGACGGTGTTGCAGTGGGCCTCCTGTCAGTGACCATGACACAAGTCCAGTTCACTACAACCCTGTGAGAATATCTGTCATCATTGAAAGTGATGCCATGGTCAGCCTCCCCTGACTTGTTGATGCCTTGCTGGTAATCTTTGGACTGATCTATGCACTACACCTCAGCTACCCCAAAGCACTGACCAACACTTTTGAATTCACTGAAAAGATACTTGGTCTAGAAAGTGGTAAACTGTCACCCAAGTTGCAGACCCTCAAGAATGACTTGATTCAGAAACGCATCTGAAAGAAGTCTGCAGGGAAAGCTTTATAAAAGGCTAGTTCAAAGTTCAAGGGGAAATGTTCTATAGAGTTTTTGTAATTTCATCCAAATTGCTGCCCTGTTGCCTTATGCATTCATTTTGCATGTAGGCAAGGCAAGGCAATTTTATTTGTATAACGCTTTTCATACACAAGGCAGACTCAAAGTGCTTCACATCATAACATTCCATACAATAAAGTGAAATAAAATGCAGGAATTAAAAGAATTAGAAACAGCAAATAAAATTATAAATTAAAATCTTATTTAAATTGTTTAATTAAAGGTAGAGGTTAAAAGTGCAATGTAGGCAAAATTTAGCAGAAGGCGAAGTTGAACATAAAAGTTTTCAGTCTTGTTTTAAACGTGGTCAGAGTTGGGACAAGTCTTAAATCTTCAGGAAGTTTATTCCAGCAGTTTGTTGCGTAGTAACTAGATGCTTTCCCATGATTTGTATTTACTCTGGGAATCACTAACAGATTGGTGTCAGAAGGTCTTCGTGATCTTGAAGGCTTATGTAGTGGAAGCATATCAGTGATATACTTTGGCCCTAAACCATGTAGTGATTTATGTGAGCAGTAGGATTTTGAAATTAATTCTGACATACTGGGAGTAATGTTGTACTGGTGTAATGTGCTCACATTTTTTGGTCTTTGTTAGAACTCCAGCAGCGTTCTGAACAAGCTGGAGCTGCCTGACAGTTTTTTTTGGGAGACCATTACAATAGTCTAGCCTACTAGTTATAAAGGCATGTACAAGAAATCTTGTAGCGCAAATAATTTGCGTCACGTTTGGTGTGACCACGGCATTACTCAGGAATTAGCCAAAAGCGGTTTTCTTTTTTAGCTGTAACGAAAAATAATTTCATTTTAGTATCATTTATTTGTTTTGATTACAATTTATTTGAGCTCTTTATATTGAACAGACCAGTGCATATGTCTGTTGATTTTATAAATGTTGATTTATTTTTCTATTTCATTTTAATACCGCTGTGTGCCAAAAGGGAGTATACGGTTCAATAGCAAGTGTTCATGAGTTTGTTGAACTCAATGTATTTGAGGCAATCGATTGCCTCAAAAATATTAAGTTTTGAGTGACATGTTTTTAAGTAAACACAGGCAACATTTTTGACTAATGTATACTTAAAACAATGACAACACAAAATAAAAATTGAGTTTGGTTAACATGAAATGGTGTGGTTGTGTACTTATTTTTAAGTTCTGTGAACTTATTTGTATTAGTTTGAAAACTGGACCTTTTAAGTAATAACTGAAAATTATTGAGTTGCCTTAACAGAAAATTAAGTCATTAACTGCAAATATTTGAGTTGAGCTAAATGGAACACTTTAATTAAACTGTTATGAAAAGGTACAAGTATCAAGTAATCCAACCTTTTGAGTTCTGGAAAATGTAGACTTTTAAGTTGATCAACTCAAAAAAATTCAGGCAATCAATTGCCTCAATTTTTTTGAGTTCTGGTAACTTATTCGGGTTTACAGTGTGTCATGACTACACTTCAGTGTAAAATAACACTGAATGATTTAAATTAACACTTTTAAGAGTAAGTGAGTAACACAATTTAGATGTAAAAATACACTTTAAAGTGTCAAATAACACTGAATGTTAGAAATTAACACCCTCAATGAAAAGGAATAACCCCAGTTTAGTGTAAAAATGACTCTTAAATGCGTTAAGAAACAACCCTCTAAGTGTTACATTTTTAACACTTATGGAGTTAAAATATTAACACCGTCCAAAGTGTTAATTTAACTCTGAACTGGTGAGGATTATATAAACTCAGGGAAAGTGTTCTATGGGAGTTGAATTAACACTGACGTTTTTGCTGTGTATGCTCCTGCTTCCGTTGCCTTTTCCACCTTTAACTGAGCGTTAGCAGGCATTGAATAATTCTGCTGAAATAATTCCCCTTACATTGGTTGGTATTGTTCAGCATAAGGATTAAGTGCTGCTCCCTTTATGAAAAATGATTCCAATCCATCTGAATTTGTAGTTTAAACAGTGCCATGCTTCGAGGCATTCAACACTGCTAACTTCGCTGTAGATGCTGCTAATTCAGTGTCAACTTAAAGTTTTTATTTCCTTCTTAATTGCTCCATCTGCTCCTCCAGAACAAGTTTCTTCTGTAGCGCCGCAGAACGTGTCAACAGTGCAGCCCGTTCTGCCTCCGTTTGACGCCTTGTGGAGGACGTCGAACCCTTGCTGACCCTAGAGACATTACTTGTTCGATCTGAGGATTTGTTGGAAGCATTTGATCCAACATTTGAAATGCTGTCATGAGGCTCCACATTAACCACATCATTATGGACATCGACAACTTTAGTATTGGGGCAACTTTCGTTGCAGACTAACAATTTGTTTATATCATTAAAGCAATAAAGACCTTGACACTAAGCATTTTTAGTTTATACCACATTTCATGATTTTCCATGACGCTGTGTTTCTACCTCCGTAAGTGAAGTTCCGTTCCGACAGCCACTCCAACTGGTGCCGCTCGTTCTGCCGCGCCAATCGCCGCTCCACACTGCCGCGCCAAACTACCGCTCGGTCTGCCGCGCCCATCGCCGCTCGTACCGCTGCGCCAATCGCCGCACCACAATGCCGCTCGGTCGGCCGCGCCAATCGCCGCTCCACACTGCCGCTCGGTCGGCCGCGCCAATCGCCGCTCCACACTGCCGCTCGGTCGGCCGCGCCAATCGCCGCTGCAAACTGCCGCTCGTACCGCTGCGCCAATCGCCGCTCCATAATGCCGCTCGGTCGGCCGCGCCAATCGCCGCTCCACACTGCCGCTCGGTCTGCCGCGCCAATCGCCGCTCCACACTGCCGCTCCACACTGCCGCTCGGTCTGCTGCGCCAATTGCCGCTCCAAACTGCTGCAGCTCTGACTGCTGCTCCGATTATCGCTTCAAACTGCCGCCGGGTCTGCGCCAATTGCCGCCCCGACTGCTGCACCAAACTGCCGCCGCTCGATCTCAATGAAGCGTTCCTTGCTCTCGTTCCCCACTTCACCTTCCACGCTCACGGTCACGGTCACGGGCAAAAAACTATTTTGCTTCTCACCACCACCTGTGCCAGGTAACCCACCTGATTATATTGACCTTGCGGCCTAATTGAAACAACCTCCCACCACCTAAGAGGGTGGAGCTAACAATCAAAACTACAAAACAAAAATGCTCTTACACTGACCTAAAGCCAAAGCTACAGACTTGTAAAGCTCGCAATGTAAAGAGATGTCAAGTCTACTTTAAGAAACTGTTGACTATTTTTTTTTCTTACCTGTGGGGTAAACCTTTTTATATGATATTAATCATATTATTGTACTCGTAAACCAACATTACCCTCTTAAAGTCTCTGTGCTATTCTGCCCCACAGGCTTCTGTGGTTGCCCCTGCAGTGGTCCTGCTGTGCGCCTGCCTTACTACTCACAATTACTTGAATAGTTTCTGTCATAGGAATGTATTATACATTGTTCATTCTGTACACATGGCATCCATTGTAGTCTGTCCATCCCGGGAGTGGGATCCCTCCTCTGACGTTCTCCCTAAGGTTTCTTCCCTTTTTTCCCTCTTGGAAGGGTTTTTTCATTTTTTGGGGAGTTTTTCCTGTGCCGATGGTGGGTTTCGGGACAGAGGATGTTGTATGTGTACAGACTGTAAAGCCCTCTGAGGCAAATTTGTAATTTGCGATTTTGGGCTATACAAAATAAAATGAATTGAATTGAATTGAATTTACCACTTTAATCTCAGGGAACATCAATGGTTTTTTCCTGTGACATATTCAACACCCACACATGGACAACACCCACAGACACACACAACACAGACACGGAAAACACCCACACACAGAATTGTTTTTAATTTATTTGAAATTACCTTTTTCAGATTAATCATTTTAGGTTGGCCGTGTTGATGTTGACCTGATGTGAAGTTTTTCATAATAAGATTAGCTGTGTTTGGCCATTTTTCTTAAAACTAAAATGCATTGGAGCATTTACAGGTGTTTCTGTTTTTTTTATCCAATTTAATTGAAACAATGTTTAATAACATATTTAAAAACCAATCAACAGCTAATTAGAGGAAAATACAATAATTGTGTTAATTGATGAGTAGCAATAAGTAAGTCATAATAGCTAGTTTTATCTAATGATTTTGAGTACACACTACTTATAAATATAAATACTAAACTTAAGATTCCACGTTAATACAACTCAACATTTCTAGTTTTAGCTTGTGTAAAAACTAAAGTTGGATAGGGCAACGGGTTTCCACGCGATTTGCGAGTAAAGTCAACTAATTCGGGTTTACAATATGTTTCCATGGTTGGAGAAACCACTTTGCGAAATGTTTCCCGGATGGAGTATTTGGGTCAACGGGGGACTCAAACTCTGTTTATAAGACCAACAGCTGACGGGAAAAAACTGTTTGTGTGGCAAGAGGTCCTGGTCCTGATGGCCCGCAGCCTCCTGCCAGAGGTAACGGGCTCAAAGAGTCTGTGTCCAGGGACTCCGTTACAATCTTTCCTACCCGCCTCAGAGTCCTGGAGGTATACAAGTCCTAGTGGGGCTGGCAGATTGCAGCCGCCACACTGCCACTTGTCCTTGGCTGTGGCTGCAGCATACAGACGAGGATGGAGGAGCAGAGGATGGACTCAATGATGGCTGTGTAAAAGTGCACCATCATTGTCTTTGGCAGGTTGAATTTCATCAGCTGCCTAAGGAAGTACATCCTCTGCTCGGCCTTCTTCGTAATGGAGCTAATGTTCAGCTCCCACTTGAAGTCCTAGGATCTGATGGAGCCCAGAGCGATGACGGAGGAATCACACAGGGTGATGAGAGAAGGTGGGGCTGTGTATCTTCGGAAATCCACAACCATCTCTGTCTAGCGTTCAATTATTTTCTGTAGCCCAAAATTGCAAATTACAAATTTGCCTCAGAGGGCTTTGCAGTCTGTACACATGCAACATCCTCTGTCCTGAAACCCACACATCGGCACAGGAAAAACGAAAAGGGGAGAACGTCAGAAGAGGGATCCCACTCCCGTGATGGACAGAATGAACAATGAAAACGATGTATAATACATTCAATTCCTATAAGTGATATCAAAAGGGAAAGTTTTAAGCTTTATCTTAAAATAGTGTCCGAAAGTGACACATTGAACACTTCAGTGGAGACACGACCAGTACCACAAGACGTGGTATTCTTTCAATCGTAATCCGTGTATCATTCGTTTTTCAATTGATAAACCGAAAACCAAACGATTTGTTTTTTCCGTTATTTATTTGAGAAACCAAGAAAGAAAAACTGGCCACTGGCCGAAATTCATTTTGATGTTTGATCACAAGTTTGTGACCCGGAAGTTTTGTGACCCAAATGACTTGTGTATTCCACTAATGTCGTTCTTATGGAAACCCATTTCCGCCACAAAAAAAGGGTTAGAAAGTCAGAGGTGTCATTTCTGTTTTAACGTCTCGTTGTCCGGAAAGTCAGAATCTGTGAATGTCTTGCCAACTTTACCGAACTGTAAACGTTCTACGAACACTTCCACCCACTCACTTCACCCTCATAACAAAAAGGGAGGAACAGGGACGTCTGACTTAATTTACACTGTATCTTCAATGTTTCCGTGTCCAAGATTAAATACGTTACGGGTGGTATTTATTCCGTAAAAGTCGTGTTTATTAACGATAAAAAATTTCTCTTCTCTCTTTATTGAACCAGTGTTGCCAATTCGTCAACGAGGAAAGACGCAGCAGAATCAGCGGTGGCTTTGGCATGTGTGATACACGGCAGTTAGACAAACTCCTTCCTGACATCAGGACTCTGAAGACAGTTGTCCGTTGTCCACTATAATATAAATGTAATGTCCAATATAAGTCACCTGACAAGTTACGAAGTATTTCCTGTTTCAAAATAAAACGTACTGACTTAACGATTGTAACAAAACAGTGTCTGAATTAGGGTTGGAGAAGCATTGTATGAACGTACATCTTACGTTCATGTTGGGCGCCATTAAAACAGAGCACAATTCATTACATTACATTACATTACATGTCATTTAGCTGACGCTTTTATCCAAAGCGACGTACAATAAGTGCATTCAACCATAGGGTACAAACTCAGGAGAACAAGAAACAAGAAAGTGCAATTTCCTCAAATAAGCGAATTTACAATTTGCTATAGATGAGTGACGTCACAAGTACAGTTTAAGTGCTACAATTTGTTAGTCTTTAGTCGAGGTAGAGTCTGAAGAGGTGTGTCTTTAGTTTGCGGCGGAAGATGTGAAGGCTCTCTGCGGTCCTGATGTCTTCAGAGAGCGCGTTCCACCATTTCGGCGCAAGGACAGCGAAGAGTCGAGACCTAGTCGAGTGTTTTGCTCTCAGTGGGGGAGGGACGAGTAGTTTTGCAGATGCAGAGCGGAGAGTGCGGGTAGGGATGTAGGGTTTGACCATGTCCTGGATGTAAGCTGGACCCGATCCATTCACAGCATGGTACGTGAGCACCAGTGTTTTGAACTGGATGCGGGCGGCCACCGGTAGCCAGTGAAGAGAGCGGAGGAGTGGAGTAGTGTGGGAGAATTTCGGAAGGTTGAAGACCAGTCGAGCTGCTGCATTCTGAATGAGCTGCAGAGGTCGAATGGCGGTGGCAGGGAGACCTGCCAGGAGGGAGTTGCAGTAGTCCAGGCGGGAGATGACAAGAGCCTGAATCAGTACCTGCGCTGCCGTCCTCGCCTTGAACTCACCGCTGTTGGCTGTAAAAGTTGACAAAATACTGCGGAAGGAACTGTCACTTTGAGTTGAAGTCCCGGATCTGGACGACCCAAAATCGTGACAGTTAAACTGTTGGAATGAATGGATGTTAAATATTTGACTTTCAAAGACCTCCCCATAACCAAGGTTTCTGATGACGTCAATAACTTGGAAGTTCTCACTCCAAATCATATCCATTTGCTCAAAGGGAAACCTATTTTTTATCAGGAGACAATGGAGACCAGTTCAGTACCTGTCAGATCTCCTCTGGAAAAGTGGACAAGGCCACGGAGAGGTTTTGTAGCATGGGACATTGTCTTTGTCCTGGATCCAACTGCTCCTAGTGGGTCATGGATCATAGGAAGAGTGACCAAGACATACCCATATAAAAAAGGGCTGGTGCGTGCAGTACAGTTAAAGACCAAGACAGGAAAGTTGGAGCGGCCTATATCCAAGATTTTTCTGCTTCACGAAGCAGTGCAATGGTCCTTACCTAACATTGGGTCACACGTTGGTAACACCTGCCAAAGAAAGGAATCTGGAATCTCTGTGTTAGCAAGTAAGAAACTGGATCTTCTCCTGCACCCAGCCGAGTGGCTTTCTAAAATAAGTAATTTCACCTTGGATTGTTTGCAAATGAATGACATTTTAATATCCTATCCAAATGAAATGACCAATGTGGCATAGAATAATAAAATGAATTGAAAAATGAAATGAAATAAAAAATGCTTCTGAAGAATGCCAGCCATCTGGAACAACTAGTCAGGGCCAAACCACAATATGACTATTTTTATAATGGTAGATTAAGGGCACTTGCGTGCCTCTTGCATGCTTTTTTACCCCTTCTTGCTCTCTTGCCTGCGTTGACCAATTTTTCTAGACTAGCGTCAAAAGCTACGCAACCCTCACGCAGCCTGCAAGGGTTGTGATTGGTCTGCTAACTTTGGAGTCTGACATTTCCGGTTTCATAGCATAATAGCGCCATTTCTAAAAGGAAGATTTTTGAAGAGAGAATGAATCAGATTGAAGAGCTTTTGTCGGAAGAAATACGGAAATATGACTACCTATACAACCTGTCGTTGGCGGACTATAAGGACGCGCCTATGGCCTCCAATTCATGGAGCCTCATCGAGGGGTGTTCAAAGTTGTGAAGGGAAATACGAGACAAATATGTCCGTGTGATGAAAAGCAGCAGTGGCGATGCAGGGGGCCAAAAAAAGTCTCTGCTTTTTATGTATCCCTAAATAAACAAACCAACGACTTCCACACAAAGACGTCATTCTCTAGGTGGTCTTCACCAAAAACGTTACTCCACCTATTGTTCTGGCGTTGAATTGCTTTGAAACACGCGCAAGCCTTTTATAACCATGAATTAAACGAGTTCATCGACACAACTGCGCGAAAATCAGTTGCAGAAGCATGCCAGAGCCTTTAGGAATATTTTAATACTTTTTAAAAATGTTTAATAAGTTACTTATTAGAATTTTTATTTTTGTGATTACCATTTCTAAACAGACAGCAGTGGGACTGAATGTGATTGTTACATGAGTGCATGCGACTCGACCCTACCAGGTGTTTGTCGACGCTACCTGAGGGCACAGAGTGGGTTTGTTTTCTGTTTTATTTTGAAGTTTCCTGCCTCTCGTTGTACTTGGGTAAGCTCCACTTCCTGCACTGTCATCCCCTGTGATTGTCGGCCATGTCCCTGATTGTTTCCACCTGTGTCCACTATCACCTGCACCTTCTGAGTGTATTTTAAACATGTGTGTCATTTGTCTCTTGTCGGTTCATTGTATTAGTTTCCCATGTCAATGAGTTTTTGTGTGCTCGTGTCCTGGTCTGCGTTTTTCCCCCTACAGGCATATCTGATTATTGAAATAAAGTCCTTATTTTTTCTACATCTGCAATAGTTCTACCTCTGCCACCTGTCCTCTTTATTGTGAGGTGGTTGCTGGATTAACAATCAACGGCAATTTTAGCCATAAACACAGGTTCAAGGGTGACCCTTTCCACACTGAAGGCGGTGATCGTGTCGGGATTAATGCAGCTCTGCTAACATTCTCCATGAATCTCAATTGATAAATTGATGAAAGATGAGACACTGCAAACACACAACACGTTTTTTAAGAGCTGATCATTTGTAAGGGAATTATTTTGCATGTCTTTTGCCAAAAATATCCATATTCTGAAGATTGGGGTTTATTCTTCATTCAAAACTTGATTTGAACAGTGTATTCATTAGAACATGGCAAAGGTGGAATATAATACAAAACAGATATCCAAACCCCCTCTATGAAAATCTTTGACTCATCTACAAAAATCGAGAATCAAATTTCAGACCCGGCTTTATCCAATGTTCAGATTTCTCTTCTGGAAAGAATATGCAAATTAGAAATTATTTGATAAAATATCGTCTCATGTGTATATTCAAACATTTCAGAAAACTTGCATAAAAAGAATGATTATCTTAATGCAAATAATAGATTAATGTGTACTATGTCCACCCTTAGTGAGTCATAATGTTCATAAACAGCACATGAATGGACGTATCAAATTAAAATAGATTATACGTTTTGGCCAGACAACCCACAACTCAAAACTTAAAATCACTAAATTATAAATGCTCTCCTCCACTTCAGTGAGCTAGGAGTCATTAGGGTCATAACGATTCATTTCCAACTTCACGAACATCAAACGGCGGAAAACAATGCGAGTCTGGCTCGCCGTCTCAACCTGCGTATCTTTAATTCTCCATAACAAAAGTACAAAGAGAGACGGAGACCAAAGGCTTTATTCCTAAACACCTTTAACACCTCTCCTGGCCGCGGCGCCAGCGCCGGGCCGACGCGCGGACGGCGGCCCTGTCTGGAGCGGCAGCGATAGGGGGGGCAGGCAGAGGAGCAGAAGAGAGCAGCCCCCCGGGGAACATTGAAGGAGGGAGGGGGAAAGGGTGAGGGAGGGTGTTTGGACCAAAACACATAATCTTCTCCCCCGACTGTTAAAACAAACTTGGATGAAGATAACTTTTAGCCCGACTGCTGCCAGCTTCTCCACCGGCCCTCGGATCAGCCTGCTGTTAGGAGATACAAGAGAAACTCAACCTATGAAACACCGGAAAACAGAAATACAAAGGAAGAATTTTTATTTTCATTTTCGACGCTTCCAACAGAGACACAGCCTGATGCGTAAGTAGTTTCACGCGTAAAAGTGCCGTTTCGGCATGTTTGTTCGTTCATCAGCGGGACCAAATGTCTGCAAATGGCAGTAATAGTTGCGTAGGTCTTAATGTATTTTTTTTTCATTTCACACATTTAAAATGAACATTCAAGTTGACCAAATATGTCCGAAACACGCACGATGTGTTCCGAATGAGTTTCAAATTATAATAAAGAAAATTGCTAGGTCGACTGAAATGTTGTCTTAAAACGGTTATTTTCTTCAAACCACATTCAAAACCAAAGTAGGTTGTGGAGTTAATACCTCTTTCAAAAGCTGGACGTGGCCAGTAATTTGCATAAAGTGTTTTTTAATAAAACAGGGTTGGGGTTCATACGTTTCTTTTTTGTCCCAAAACTCATTCATTCACAGTCGTAGAAATGCTCAGCGTTAGTAAGTCCTCATAATTTAATTATAATTTATAATTTATTACCTGTGCACTGTTGTCTTGTCTGTCTACTGTCGCGCACTAACCGCCAAGACAAATTCCTTGTATGTTTGACATATTTTGGCCAATAAATGTTTCCTGATTCCTGATTCCTGATTCCTGATAAGTGAAATATGAAACTGTGTAAAAGGTGTCAACACCAACCGCAGATAAATCATTATGAAATGACATTCTATTTTGCAGCTCGAGTACCCGACACCCCAAAAGCAATATGACATTTATGGAAACATTAAAAATGTCACAACAATTTGTAAAAGTTATGTAACATGCTGATAAAATTATAGTTACTGTGTAAAAGAGGCTCCATGCATTCACCTAATCCATCGTGTGACAATAACGCCTTTACAATGTGGTTATAATATTACAAAAACACTGTTACTCCTTCTATAAAAGCCTATAGTCAGCATTATTACGGGGAATCCACTTCGTCTGAAGTCTTCGTCATGCTTTATTCCAGTGGCGGAGGGCAAACAGACGCCGACGGCGGCTGCCGCAGCTGCGCACGTGGTGCGCGGTCCAGGTGGGGAGCAGCGGACAGAGCCGTGCCCGCGCGGCGCCCTGCTCGACCACAGCCGGCGCCACCGGACCGCGTTCACGCGCGAACAGCTGTCCCGTCTGGAGCAGGAGTATGGCAAGGAGAGCTACGTCTCCAGGCCCCGCCGTTGCGAGCTGGCCACGGCTCTCAACTTACCGGAGACGACCATAAAGGTATGGGAGCAACTGACTTCTCCGTCAGGTGTATAGTTTTATGAGCAACATGGATATGTTTACATCCGTTTGATAGCCTCAACCACACAGTTACCACACTGAAAACCATGGGCCGTAGATACTATTGAAGAGATGGTGTGGGAGAGTGTGTGAGTGAGGGGGTCCAGGTCTTTTTTGCCCCAAGGTCCTACATGCACAAGCCTTGACTGAGGAATAGTTGAACTCCATCACATTTTAGGCTAGAAAAGGTGACATTGCATTGACTTCAGCTGAATTTAGTAAAATAAATAATGTAAATTTGGAACATCCGCCAAAATCAATAATTATTCAATTTTTTTCTGACGTTATTAAACCTGATGTGTTTATCTTTGTTACAATCTAGATTTCAACATCTGAAACATCCAAAACACAGCTAAATAGTAACGGGTTGCTGACAAAATGGTTGGCAATGTAGAATGATTAATACAGCAACATTGTTGGTAGTGGCAAAAAAAAAACATAGTTCAACATTTTGGAAATAAACTCATCTGATTTTTTGATTGAATTTCTGACGTTCCAGAGTATTGCCTGGATTTGGCTTGGACCAAGAAGAGATACTTATTCTCTTTTTCACACACTCATTGCTTTCCGAACTCAAGGAAATCTCCTTTACTGATCTGCTTTATAAAGTGATTCTGTATCTGCTAATAGACACGGCCAAGCAGTCATAAACAGGAAGCAACAAATCTGCCACATCTACTTCCCTTAAAAGACAACACCTCTATGACATTTACTCATGAATGTAAGGTTTTGATCATCCGCCCTCTAGCGCTTCTTTTCCTTTAGCGGGGCAGATTGAGCGCTGACAGGTTTGGCAGCGTCTGACATTTGACACAGAGGCCCCACTAGTCCAGTGCAGCAGCTTTAATACACAGTGCACCCACCTTTCTGCTAACCACATGAGGGTCTTTTATGAAAGAGCAGGAATGCGAGGGGAGAGGCCTTGTAAATGCTGCCACCTGACGCTTAAGCAGCACAGCCTCTCAGAGGAGATTCGATAAGCTAGTAAAAATAGTTGAGGGACAAACAGAGATAGCTTGTCGGTCTCAGCTTTAAAGCCTGTTATAACACATCATGTAGGCTAATAGCACTTCATCATACATTTTTCATTTAATTATGTAATAACGCCTGCATATTCTTCGAAATAGCATGAAAGCAAAATTATAGTAACTTCCCCCCATTGGTTGAATCAAATGATTACATACTGGAGTTGTTATTACAACACGTCGGAGTGGTGGGTGATTTTTCAACATTATGAACGGCCCAAAGCTGTTTTATGGTTTATTTTGGCGGGGGGGTGGAGGGGGGCTTAGAAAGACTCCACTGTAGTTCAGTAGAGGTCGGAATTAGCCCCACTTTTAGTTAATCAAGTTGTTGGAACTGCCACATAGCCCACTCGGTCATCAACTGCATGTCTATTGATCGCATTATGTCATCGTCGTGTCGGGTCGTCGTGGCACACGGGGTAGAGCGGGTGTTCTGGGAACCACAAGGTTGGTGCTTCGAGTCCCGGCTGCCCCATGTCTCAAGTCGAAGTATCCCTGAGCAAGACACCTAACCCCTAATTGCTCCCAGGGCAAAATGTGAAAAAAAGACACTGGTTTAAAGGGTAATGTAATAAAGCCTACATCCCAACCCGCACTCTCCGCTCTGCATCCGCAAAACTACTCGTCCCTCCCTCACTGAGAGCAAAACACTCGACTAGATCTCGACTCTTTGCTGTCCTTGCGGCGAAATGGTGGAACGAGCTCTCTGAAGACACCAGGACCGCAGAGAGCCTTCACATCTTCCACCGCAAACTAAAGACACACCTCTTCAGACTCTACCTCGATTAAAGACTAACAAATTGTAGCACTTAAATTGTACTTGTAACGTCACACATCTATAGCAAATTGTAAATTGGCTTATTTGAGGAAATTGCACTTTCTTGTTTCTCGTTCTCCTGAGTTTGTACCCTATGGTTGAATGCACTTATTGTACGTCGCTTTGGATAAAAGCGTCCGCTAAATGACATGTAATGTAATGTAATGTATGTCGCTTTGGATAAAAGCGTCTGCTAAATGACATGTAATGTAATATCATTTTTTTTTAAAAAGATATACAGATCCGCAAGGATGGTAACATTGATGATCCCCAGATTTTTGGTGTAGCACCGCTGGCTTGTCTAAATGTATCCAATTCCTTGGTTGTTGGGCATGTACCTACAAAATTAACAATATTCTCCTTGACCTCAGGTGTACTTTGTGTTTAGTGCTAGTAACTTAAAAATGCAAAACTGCTTTTGAATCTTCCCTTCTCTCCAGGTGTGGTTCCAGAACAGGAGGATGAAGGACAAACGGCAGAGACATTCCTTGCCGTGGCCTCACCCTCTCGTAGACCCGTTAGGGGCGCTTCTGATGGGCCACGTCTCTCCTTGCTCCACTCTGCCGTACCCGTTCATCCCGCCCCACCTTCCACTCCACCACCACTACCCAGTGGCTCTCTCTTCGCCAGTGTCCTCGCCGCACAGCCGCTACAGTGCACCCATGCGGACCTTGGATGTACTTCGCCTCTCCCATTACCACAACAGACCAGGAGGGCTGCCTCCAACAACAGAAGCCCTCTACCCCTCCACGAGCATATTGCACCATCCTGCCTTGTGTCCCTGCCCCCTCTGTCTGCACTGGGGACAAGATCAACTGTTGAAAGCCAGAGGGGAGGCCCTGGGATTGAGCCAGGCCCGTAGTCCCAAAGCCAACATACAGCCTGCGGGTCTGGAGCGAAGAGAAGAGATGGTGTGAAACGATCAAAGGAATACAGTTAAGTTTCACTAAGAAAGACCTTGAAACTCACTCCTCCATGGGTCTTATATAAATACATTTCCAGTCACATGTCACTGCTGGTTAACAGGACCCAAATGTTTACGAGGTGACACTTAATTCTTTTATTTTATTAAAATAATTAAGAATTCCGGTGCCCAGTCTTTAAAAAAATCAGCCCACCCAACAGAATTTTTGCCCATTTCTACAAACCAAAGACCACAAAATACTTTAAATAGTTATGTTTAATATCATCCAATCTTTGAAGTATTGTGAAACGTTTAGACAACTAATTTGTTATGGTTTGAAAAAATCATCATGGTTATTTTTAAAGTAGTTACGCAGCAGCAGCGTCACAACTTTTGCCGTTAGCTAAATGTTTTACCTAATGTTACGTAACAAGCGTAGCAACATTATACAGTAACCATAAAGTCAATGTTTAGTTATGTGCGCTGCCTGGCCAATGAAGACTGACATTTTAGTTTTTGCTACAAATCCCTAACTGGTAACTCCTAGTCCTAGCATTTAGGTTCTTAAGATTTAAATTTTTAGTTTCTAGGAAGAAACACTTTTTTTTAGAGAAACTAGAATTTTAAATGGGATATATCATGAAAAGTGTAATGCTTGTGCAAACATATCCAGGTGTCTAGCAAACACACAAACTATGAAATTAGACAACCCAGTCAGTTTCTTTGTTGTCTATATCAATAGAAAACATGTTATTAAACCAGCCATTCAGATTTGACCCTCCTTCCTATGTCATACAGCCCTCATTAGAATATACCCCTCCAATCTGAGTATCTCCATCAATGGCTGAACAACTTTTGCAAAGCTGTGCCCTTTAGAGTCAAACTTTTTGCTGCCATTGTTTGACTCATAACTTGTAATTGCATTTCCATACCAACATGTGGGGGTCAGCTCTTTAAAATGCATTCTTGCACTTTAATGTAAACCAAACCTCATCCAAACCCTCAGATTTGTCACTTTTTAATGCAGGCGTTGATTTCTGAAGATAAACAATTGACGGCCATGTGTGGCATGTGGCAGCGTGTTCGATGTGATTCAAATTCTATTTAGGTGAAGACAAGAGACGATGAAGTAGAAATTCACAAACACATCTTGAAGTCAGTGTCTGTTAAAGCACAATTGCACCAAGTAAAGACTTAAATGTACTGTACATATTATACCTTATATAATTCGTAATGAATACATATTCCATGTTTTCTCTGCTGTAACACCAATGACTACTGCTTTTATGTATTTACACAACTGAAAATCTATAAGGAGTGTTAACTAACATGTGGATACTTTGTAGCAACGACTGAAGAGTAGAGAGAGTGCTCAATTCGCATAAAACTAAAGGCAGAATTGATGTCAGATTTCCCTTGGGTGATCACGACAAAAGGCATTTATTGACAGGACTCTAAATATATTATCATGCAATCCTGTGGAAACGTATAACTGCAGCTGCTTGGAGGTACTGTAAACTATCGTTCTGAGAGTGAAATGAGAAGTTGGATATAAAACAGCATGATAGAGGCTGAAGTTGTTGAAATGAATGAAAATGAATCATACAAATGATATGTGCACTCAAGATGTGTGAACGTATTTGTAGTTAGATATTCAACATTGTTTACACCATTTCTTTGCATGTATAATGATTGCAGGGTGATACTTTTGGTCCCAACCCTAATCTGAAAAATGATGTGCAATGTTTTGGAGTTCATTATTTGGAGTTCATTTTTTTCCAGAACGGCAACCCTCTCTTTGACATTGTGGACATATATTAAGATTAATATTATTAAACTTTGATATAAACACACAACTTCTACTTTTTGTATGTTGGGTTTCACAACAAAGACAACCCAAAATAGACAAAACATTTTGTTAAAAGGTCCCATATCTTTCCATGAAGAATATTACCAGGCATTCACTTCCTCTATTGTCTAATGTTGTTTTTAGTGTCTTGTCTGTTTCCATTCAATTGTATGTATGGAAACATCAAGTTATAGATGCTGAATTAAACATAACTTGAATTGTCACTTTTTTACAAACAAATCGGCCTTGCACACAGTCAAATAAAAGATTCTCTCTGACCTGATTCATGTTAGTGTCCTACCATTGATTCATTTTAGTAGTTCTTTGTGTTCTGATGGAGTTTTACAGTCAAACACAACATCCCGCTGAAGCAATAAACTGATTAAAACATTGAAAAGTGTATGTGAGTGAGAAGGACAAAGTAGGTAAAGAGAAGGATAGATTTAATCTTTGAGAAGTATCAATTTATGTTCAAGGGATATAAATGGTACCACAATATTCTATTCATCGGTAATGTAATATGTATTGTGATTTTAATACCTCTCCGGCGATCAAGAAAACGAACCAATGCACTTTTAATGCACTTCCCAAGTAAAATGAAGAGGCGATTTAAACCATTTCTGATATTGGAAACAATGTTTTTAGTCTTTGAAAAAATGTTTGTAAACACCTAATGGCCATCATAAAGAAAATGTCATACCTACAAAGCATGGTAAACAAGACCTAGTTTGTGTATCAATTGTAGTTGGGCGGCTGTTAGTGCTGTTTAGAACACGGTCTGGTCACAGCAATGACTAAGGAGGTGAAATACTCCAAACCAATGGTAATTGCCAAATAGACACCCTTTATGTAATAAAATGTTCAATAAATGAATAGAAGCTCATCGTAAGTCCAAAACGTCATCACTTCATCATGTTATCTTTAGATCATTACTGGTTTTTGAATTTTTCCAAAGTTATGGAGTCTTAATAGTTAAGTGGATTTAGTGACCTTTGACAACCAAATCAGCTAAACCATTAGGCCAAGTAGCTGGGCCAAGTAGCCAAGTAGCTGTCAAATCAGAAGGAATCCGCTGAAGACATTCCTGAAACGTCGTATTTACTAGAATTGGACAGACTTCAGGTCATAGTGACCTTTAACTGGGAGCTATGACCACCAAAATTAAATCAGTTCAACCTCTAGGTCTAGGGGGGATGTTTGTGACAAGTTTAAGACATGATTAAACTAGTTGTTGATTGGTAGTGCCTATTAATGTGTTTATTCTATTTTCAGCAGTGTATAATGTACATTTATTTGCCACTGTATTAGAGATGCATTACCAACATTTTGTTTCCCACACAACTGCAAATTAAATGGCCACAAACACAAGCTTTTTTCCCACTGTGGTCTGTCCTGGCTAGTTGTAAAATGTGACCCCAAAAAACACATCAAATTCTTAACTGGATATACCAGGCTCATAACACATTAATGTTATAGCTTAAAACTCAAACACTGCATGAAAACACTAAACCACATTTCAAAAGGCAGACTTTAAAGTTTTAATGTTGTAAAAGTTGTGGTATGAACAAATAGGAATATAAATAATGAATATGTCCATTGCGGCAGTTTTAACAGTGGACCAGTTATGCTTCACTGAAAATGAATATGACGTTTACAATCGAATCCAGAATCAGAATTAAAGCAGTAACTGAAGCATATGATCTCCGTCAAAGGTTTTGTGAGGTATCTATATCCTTTAGCAGGATGAATTCCAGATCAAGTTGGGAATACTGTTACAATATGGCAACACGTCCCTCTAGTGCAAAACAGATGAAAAGATGGCACAGCAAAATGTTTTAATGCTGATTCCAGACCTCAGACACTGCGCTGATTTCCAACTCACCTGGACAGGTGTTTACTGGGACAACCATACTTTGAACCAGAAGCAGCTCTAAGCAGGCTGTGTGTAATGATGTAGGACAATAAACAGAAGGGTTAATTACAGGTGAGCACATTTCAACAGAGATTAGCATGGCGGGACACACAGAGGGTACTGCAGGGATAATAATGTGGTATAATCATGTAAGGGCATAAGTAGAGGGGGAACATAGGCTGGCCTGTCTGAGCTGGCTTGGGTGGGATGTGGAAAGGTTCGCAGTGAATAAAGTTTTTTTTGTGTGACACATACTGTCTGATGGCCATATTGCAGGTCCTCAGCTCTCCAAACAGCTGGTTGCACTGGCTGCAACAGATTTGACCTGACTGTGAGGAGAAAATATCAGGTCTTCTTTTGGATATCGATCACTTGCTTGATTTGAAAATTGATCAAATCAATCCATCCGTCTGCATGGTCCAAAACTCTTAGAACACTATTGGTACCCATGAATAAAGAGTCATAATAGTGAAGTGAGGTTGTTCTTCAGCGCTTGAAGGATATTGAAATACAAAACCCACTGAAGCAACAGAATGTTCACCCTGCTGCCGTCCAACACGATACCCAGAAGTATCAGCTAAATGACATGTAATGTACATGAAAACTTCCCTCATTCATTTTATATGCCTTGGTTTAGATATGTATATTGTTTTGTTTTTATCTTTTTCTATTCAGTATGCATACCTACAGACGGTGTGTAATACGTACATTGTGCAAGCACAGTTTTGTAAAATAAGAAATAAATTAACCCATTAACCATGCCAGCACAGATTAAGAAAATTAATCAACTAGCACTATTAGGTGGGTAATATTTTAGAAACCAATACCAGTAGAGTACTTTAGTTACTGTAATCTCTTGGTTAAGCCAAGCTAACTCTCCAACAATGTAACCAACTGTTTATGGGCTTGAAAGCAAAAAGCATACATACAGATGCAGGAATCGTTGGTTTTTATTAGCAAAGTTTTGGCAGGCAGTCTATTGGAGAGGACAGTATCAGAATATAAATAGGATTACCCGGAATCAGGCAAAGTGGGAAGGACAGGGACAGGCAAGGTAGGTGACAGGTGCTGTGTCTCAATTGCTAAGGCTGCCTTCTTGTAGGACCGTCGCGGTAGATCTGGGCTGGGTCTTCCAACAACCGCATAGGCTGAACCCAGCGGTCTCTGAAATGGGGCGGTCTGGCTAATGGGGGAACTTCCTGCTTGCATCATTAGCTTTACCTCCACTGCACCCGGTCGAAGCTCTGCAAGCGTCTCAGAACTCACGCATGTGCGTTACAGATGTGGGCAGAGTTATGTGTTTAACAGAAATGTTTTAAACTGTCCGCACTACTATGTCTTAAAAGCATCTTATTAACAGCACACAGTCTGTATCTCCATATTTGACATTTTAAGTGAAATATTAAATACGTTGAAATCCCGTCTTCGCGCGGACCAAATTTTGCTGACCAGTTCATTAATTATTATGAGAATCTTAATATTGTCTCTTTCTACCTTATGTTACAACCTGATACGTTTATCAACAAATTATCCTTTTTTGGCAATTTGATGTGTCATCCACTTTTGAGCCGGTAAAAATGAGTTCTTAACGTCTAAGAAATAATTTCTTAAGATCTCTCGTTGAGATTGTAACGTCTAAGATCTCAAAATTAAAAATCAATATTACTAGACATTTTTGCAGCTGCAATCACTGTAAGCGTAATCCTCGGTAAATTCAAAATGACTGCAGCGGTATCCACCGATATTACAGATCCCATGAGTTTTACAACGCTGTGATTGATGTCTTCACAAGGAAAGCGTTCGATGGGTTTTATGTACAAATAATCCATCGATTGGTGAGCCAGAAACTAGCTTGGATTAATATGAAATTGAGCAGTGTGTTTACACGCACACACCTTTTATCAGGGTCAGTCTTGCTTGCATCATTATATGGAAACTGCCTACTGCTGGGAAAAACTCTGCCTTGAGCCTGACCAGAGCCCCGCTCACACCCAATGGACTTACTTCTCTGGGAAAAATTTAGTGTCTTGGCCAAAGGTTGTCTTTCGAGTTCCTCTTCTCTCAAGATCTTGGTGCAGCAATCTCAGGAACTGTTCAAGAATTAACTTCTCCGATATTTCCTTCACTGTTCTGTTTTGACCCATTTTGAAAACCTGTCATTCAGGCGAAGTCTGCGAGTCTGCAATGTCCATGAACACAAAGGCACTCCTTGCCTTACCTGTCAGCAAAGGGACCAGACGAATGGCCCACTCATGGCTTGAACATTGACAGACTTGTGCCATTCTTTCAAATGTTGTCAAAAAGTATTCAATTTCATCCTCTGGTGACAGTGGTAGCAGCTTTGGTTCTCCCTGGACTGGTGGTTTCTTCTGAAGTCTGGCGTGGTTTCTCCCATTTGCATCATCAACTTTATCACTCACGCCCTGAGAGTGAGTCCCTTGTCGGTCCACCTGCTCAAAATTGTAATCATATTTCTGCATCTGTTGATGATGCATACTCCTCCATTTTTGCTCTTCACCTGAAAAGTATCTCTCTAACTGCTGGTCTGTAGCTGGTTGGGACCAGGTGAAATCCTTTATCATACTTGCCAGTTCTTCCAACTTATTTACTTGGTTGCTCGCTGCTGCAGCTCTCTGGTCAACCAAGGTGTCACGGTGTGGTTCACTTCCTGTCTTATTTTGTAGTTTTCTGCCACTCGTGTCCCTGGGAAACTTCACTTCCTGCCTTGTCCTGTCATCCCCTGTGATTGTCTAATAGTTTCCACCTGTGTCCAATCACCTGCACCCCCCTTGTGTATTTAAGCTGTGTGTCTCTTGTGTCACTTGTTGCGTCATTGTCTATTGTCGTGGATGTTCGTTTCCTGCCTGCGGTTTTTCCCCTGGTTCCTGTGTGTTTTTGCCCCTTGGCCTTTTGATTTTTCCTTTTGACTATTAAAGTCTTTTGCTTTCTGAGAAGTCTGCGTTTGAGTCCTGCCTCCTGCACCCATCCTTGACACAAGGAACATGCAGCCTTATCTGGCTCATGCTGCTGGTCATTCCTCCTTGCTCTAGACATACCAACTCCCAACTTCGACGCACATCCCACTTATGACGCCACTTGTTACGATACCCCCAAGCAGACATTGGCAAATGCAAAAAAAATTAGGCCTTCAGTCAGATCTGTTTCACTGTTTTTATGTTACCTAAATCACATTCACAAAAAACACCTCCTGCTGGTCTGTAGCTGGTTGTGACCAGGTGAGATCCTTTATCATACTTGCCAGTTATTCCAACTTATTTTCTTGGTTGCTGGCTGCTGCAGCCCTTTGGTCAACCAAGGAACATGCAGCCTCATCTGGCTCATGCTGCTGGTCATTCCTC